CGGGATGGTGGAGCTAGTATCAATCCCCATTCTCTCAATTGACATAACAGTAGAAAGAAAAATACTGGGCATTTTAGCCACCACATGTCACTGAGACTTTTGTTCAACCTGTCAAAGAAAATCAGGTAGGTGCAGGGAATCCTTTCCTCCAAGAAATAATGAATATTTTCTTTGAAGACAGAAACCTACCACTTACCTGAGAACATACAATCAAATGGCCATCAGTCAAAAAGCCATCAACTCACTTTCTAATAGATTATAGCCCAGCTTCTACCTTAATTTTCTTGAAAAATGTATTAATAGCATTAGTCACTATTGCTAAGAGACAGCCAGCTTCTTCTAGTGGCAGAAGAAGGGAATGTGTTCTATCACTGAATCCCTCTGGAGCATACAACCATTTCAATTACCGTAGGTAGAAATATTTGGGAAATTTGCACAACTAGCTCTGCATCTATTAAAGGCATTATATAACTGGAAAAGAATAACCTTTGCTGGAAAGCTATCTTTAGTTCCACAGACTCTGATCTCTGAAAGCATGCTGCGTCCCACAAAGTAAAAGATAACATCATTCACCGTTTTGTTTCACTGCTTCTCAGATATCTCGGTAAAATAGCCTTCTTCCTGTTAATCCTCTACAAAAACAAAACTTTGGTGAGGCCAGAATTGTTCCAGATGCTACAACAAGAAGTCATAAAATGAAACAAGGTAACTAACCCTTTACAATAATCCACACAGCATGCACCTCAAACCACATGCTTCTATGATAAACACGGTATTCGGAACATTAATTAATTTATAAGTATTAATGTCATAAGTAAATGTCACAAGTTAACATTTATCTGATCACCACAACAGCCTGTCCCTAAAATAAAGTCTCCTGGATCATCTCCTCTTTTCTTGGGGGGTGGGAAGGGGAGAAGGGGAATAGGGAAGCGAAATTAGAAGAGTGAAAAACTTGAAAACTTGGCTCAGCTAGAATGTAGCTTTTGGCCACTGCTTAGGACGGATATTTTCAGTTTCTGAACTTACCCTCTAATCTAACTGTGAAGAAAGTTAATTCAACAGTACGCAGTACCACCAAATACGGCTGTAAATTTTTTTGGGGAAGGAGGGTGATGGGGAGGTTGAACATATGGATGCAGTTAAGGTAAAAACAGATGTTTGTTACTTTTCTTTGCAGCAACACTCAGAAACTAAGTCAAAATTGCTTTTTTTTCATGTTTATGTCTGAAAGAACTATAAAATTAAATATGCGGGAGGGAGGGCGGAGGGGGAACGGCAGTGAGTGTCGCAGAGAAAGAATGAAACCGTCTCTAGTTTTGAACTCCAATCCTGAAACCAAGGCCCGTAGAGTTAAACTGCAAGACATACACCATTTAACTCTAGATTTCAAGACCTTTAAATAAGAGACTAGCTCGGAGTTGCTTTCACCATGCCTGCTCAGACAGAAAACACCAAACTGTCTGCAGAGTCTAAGGGCACAGTGTACTCATGGTAAAACACACGCCTCGGTCTGAACGCATGACGAGCTACAACCTCGCCATTCCTTACTAAGAGGCTACTCGCAGTCAACATGCCTTTGCAGACCTACACCAAAGTATTTCCAGTTACTTCTCAAACCTGTCAGGCTTAATTGCCAAACATTTGAAAGCCCAGGTGAAATCACATCATGCATTGTAGTTCATGTTCTTTCAGTGTACATGTTAGGGGCAGAAAATGTTTTGGGTTCATCCTCCATCTTTCCACCCAGTATTTAGGTCCAGAAAATAACAGCCCTTGCAAAAATAATTACTTTGGCTCTCTGCCGCTCCTACCTCACTTTTCAATATTCAAAAAGGTTTACACACATGTTCCTCAGTGATTTCTACTGGCTTGAGCGATATGCAATTATGATTACTTGCTTTCCCTTTCCTTCCACCCAGATGTTGCTTTACAGCATCAGAGAACACAGAATATTTGACAGGTTTCCCCTCAGACAGCGGAGCTGAACAGCTTAGCGGCCAACTGACGAGCTCCTTTCCCCATGGGATGGTGATTAAAATCCAGCTCCGATACCAAGTGATCAGAAAACCTCTTCTAACCAGATAGTTACTTACAGTCCTATGGTAAGA